TTATCTAGCAAGAATTTAGAGCCCACATTTTCAGAACAGTTATTTTATAATATGCAAACAGAGATGGTAGTACCGCTTCAATGTAGGAATACAAACAATTCTATATTCTACAATAACATGTATACTATTTATAATAAATTACTTACAAGCTTGCTACGTTAAAATGTTATCGTACAGGGTGTCCTAGAACCTCCACCCTATTAAAATAGTGGAGAGTGATTTTTATTGAAAACTAAAAAAATTTTAGTAACCAACTCGAGTATGCTCTATCGAATGGTGATAATCGCAATTTTCGGTACTAACCGCAAATAGGATTTTAGGACCAAAAGCTGTTTTTTTTAAATGAGACCAGGTATTTTTTATTACATATTCCAATTATACGAAAAAAGATATAAGAGTTTTTGTCTGAAATACTCTTCTCGAAAATGCCTCCATTGGACAAAAAATGATTTCTGATGTATGAGTTCATATTTTTCAAATCAAAGATATAATTTTTAATAACAAATTAGTTAATAAACAAAATTGAGCTAATCATAATAAACTCGTAAATGAGTTAATAAACAAATCAACAGAAATAAACTCGTAGAGTGAACACCAGTTCATATGGGCCACTCTACGTTGGTACGTTAAATACTTTCCCACTTACACTCGTTTTTCGAGTTATGTGAATCAATATTTAATTCCTATTCCTTTTCAAAATTAATTCTTGTTATTCTTTTGTTTATTTCCATAATTTATTTCTGTTAATTTGTTTGTTAATTCATTTAAGGGAAGGTTTTTTAATGTTTTTGAAAAGTTTAAAGGTTTTAATGTTAATGAAGGGATCGTAATTGTCCTTTAATGTTTGTTTTGTAACTTGTATAATTTCTTTATTAAAAATCATATCTTAATTCTGGAAAGTATGAATTCATACATTAGAAATCACCACCTAGACTTTTTAGACCAGTCGCCACATTTTTCGTATCGCGGATATCCTCCAGATATGGAGATCTAAACCCTGTTTCAAGATCGTGTAAACGAGTTCAGCTCTCATGGACATTTTCCATGATGGTGTTAAGACCGTTAGGAGGAAGGTACATAAGTCTTTACTCTCTCCTTGAGCCTAATAACCAACTGTTTAAAGCTTCTCATTGGCAAATCAAAATCACTCTTCATCATTTTAACAGGAGTGGACAGGTGGTCCAGAATTATGCAATATACTGTATTGTAGGACTGTATACATGCAAACTAAATTTTATATGTATTGAAGTACATACTTCATAAAGGAGAAAGTGAACATTGATTATATATGAAACAGTAGTAAGAAGATTTAAATCATTGCAATATAGGTCGGATTTCTAGTTGAGTACTTCGGATTCCTGGCCAGTTTGGTGATAGATTGTTACCGTTAGTTGTAGAATATTAATTAGCGACTTTGGATTCGACGAAATTAGCTAGAGTCTTAAACATAATGTTTATAGATGGACATGGTTTTAATTTCAAACTCGAAAGAGATCAACTGTGTAATTATGATGTTATGGACTTTAATTCCAAGTGGGAACGTCAGACATAGAAGTGACGAGGCTGTTCAACAAGTAGAGTAGCGCAGTATCAGGTAAGACATTGTTTATTTGCAATTTTCTGCAATGTCAAAGTGTCAAAGTGACATACTAATCTATATTAACTTTAACCACATAATGCAAATTATATTTGCATTTCAATAACCAAAAAGCATTTAAAAAAATAATTAAATAATGAATGAAAAAGTCAATGCAACGTATATATGAAAGTTAGTTTTAAAAAATATGCTGTAGAGGAGTTTATGTTTCTCTCTCACTTACGCACGCACACACACACGCGCGCGCTAATAAGAAAGAAACTCTTCCATTTATTTTCTTTCTCTCGATCACCTGGTCCTAAGATTTTCGTGCATCTGTGATTTTATCTTATCAAGTAACATCTATACATATATATATAGATTTATAGATCTATAAAAAAAACTCCAGTTCTTACAAAAAATCTCTTTAATACACAGGATCTCTGTTTCAAATCGTAACTATTACTAACAATAACAGAAACTGATTGAAATAAACTTTAGAATAATCTAAATATTCGCGAAGTATATTGCACAATCAATCTGTTAAGCTTTTAACGTAATTGACGCAAACGAATTTATGCACCGACACGTAGTTACACGCGTAAAAGGGAGATCGGCGTGGAGATGCGCCGAAAACCATCAAGAATCGATCACGTCGACTCATCAGGCGATAAATTCGGAATTCGACCGAAGCAGACCGTGATAGAATGGATTCGCTGCCGCCTCCGGAAGGGAAATTTCTCTTCACGAGGAGATCGCAGGCAGGCGATCCGCTTGGAACCCGATCACGCTGCTTAGCTTCGAGATTACTATATTTTAGGCTCGAGTAGCTACGTGGCTTATATAGGTGATATTTGCCGATCCTTTTGCGCAATATGTTAACGCATTTCCGGTGATACTTATCCTTGATGATTCGATATTCCTTTCTTGATGTCTTGACTTTTAAATCGATTTGCTTGTATTAAGATGTTGTACGATTTATAATTTCAATGTTATTATATTTTATTAATGTTCGGTTAAGCCTGGGACAATCACGTGACTTATCGAACATTTGTCGGAAAATTTTGACGTTCTTTGGTCTGTTTCACTAATAACCCAGCAAGAACAATGCAAAATATGCGTCCAGAAAAATCAATTTTTCGTACTCGTATTAACAGACATTTGGGTCGTTAAGTACCACTTCGAAAAACTAAAACCTAAATCTAGGGTGCACTGGTGTGTATTTCATGAAAAATAATCTCTTCTTGGTATAAAAATAGTTCAATTCCAATGCACAGGTGCTACGATTTTTGTTTTACTTTATAGCACTTATTTTATTAAATATCGATATAATCTTATTGAATAATGACCAGAGCATCCTAGGTTTAAGTTTCGAAGAGGTACAAATGACTCAAGGAATTTCGAATCGACTTCACACGCTCCTTGAGCGTGGAAAGTATTAGATATTGTGTATATGTATATATACAGAGAGAGAGAGAGAGAGAGAGAGAGAGAGAGAGAGAGAGAAAACGTGCAACATTTTCTATGTATACGTGTGAAATCGGTCCGGAATCCCTTGAGTCACTCGTCTTTAGCGACCCAAATATCTATTAATAGGAGGATGAAAAGTTTAGACCCATATTTTTGACCAATATGGTGGGTAATATTTATGTTTTACCTTGTCCCATAGATACGAACTTCAGCCTCTTAATTGTTAGTTTCACATCGTCTATACTGAAATGTGGTGATTATTTATTAAGAAATATAGGACAATGAAGATTATTATTAGTAGATATTACTTTACACAAATCAATATTTCAATATCATAAAAGAATTTTTATAGACACCATTTTTTTACTTACACTACTTTCATAATAATTAGTACACATAAATTCACTTTATCTCAAATTATGGCAGGGACAGGGCATTAGCTTACGTCATTGTCAAAAACTATGCAAAGCGTTAGGTTCAGCAACGCGTAGAAACAATACGAGTCAAAAAACGAGAAAGACGAATGGTCTATTTGAGCGATAGGAAGGTAACGGGATGGCGAACGTTGTCGACCTGTTTGCCGTCGATATCGCGTTTGCATTACGACGATTAAACCGCTATAAATTCACAGGAGCGAGCCGATAGCGATCACCCATGTATTGAAATCGCGGAACGCTGCGGCGCGCGCGTCGTGTTGGCCCGTGTAACCGTAAATTCGAGCACGGACAGAGGAGGCAAGACGTTAATGGGAAATATTACGATTTCTGTTTCAGGTAAGCCATTTCTTCGGAATTGCTAACAAGAAAAAATACTGCGACCTATTTATTCCAGTTGGTAAGTGACAATAATGAAATCAGAAAACGATGGTTATTGTTGCTGAGTATTGCAACCGGGTGCTTTATTAGATTTCCGTTGTAATATGCGATATCGTGTTGCTTTCATATCAAGAATAGCAATTCTAGATAATAAATGAGTTTATTGGTCATCTATATTGCATTCACTCTAGTATTGCATTGCGAAGGCAAATCATAGTTCGTATACATTTCGATTATTTTATTTATTGCCCGATTCATGGTAGAAATAACGTAACATAATTGGAATGTTTTAAACAAAATAAACAAGTGCTTAATTATTAGTATTGAGAAAACTACTACTGAAACATATACATATGACTTAAGCAACACGAATAACTTAAGGGACTAAGGTAGTCACATGACTTTCCTAACATTTGTCGGTAAGCTTTTGACGTTCTTTTGCTCTGTTTTATCGATAATTGGTCTTAATTTGATTCAACATAATTTTTTTTGTATATACAATTGCGTATAAACAAAGGCATTGTAACTACGATTTTTCATCTATTTTGTAACACTCATATTACTAAATATCAGTAGACAGATTAAATCATGATCAGAGCATGCCAAATTTAACTTTTCTCTTTCCAAAGAGGTATCTGATGAACCAAAGATCTTCTTATATGACAAGGAAAAATATAGTCACGTAAACCCATATTTTGCATTACTTTTATGGTTAACATTGACATTCTGCCTTATCGGATTTCTCCCCCTTAACCAGGCTTTCATTTGTCGAGATGCTACAATTTCAACAAACCCATAGTACATATAGTTTATATCAATAGTCGGATACCATTAGAGAGCCGCGAGCCGAGTCACGTAGCTGTTAAGCGGTCGCGATGTTGCGTAGCTACATATGAAATTAATTCGGCAGTAAGCATCGACGCGACGTGTGACGGGATGGCACAGGAGCGTCTGGCGCAACCTAGTTCTGGTTCGATATTGGAATCCAGCGCAACGAGATACGCGGACATACAAGGAGCGTGTTAGCCACGCGAATAGGCACAGTTGGCACTCAATGTTGTAATATGATGGCTGGCTGGCGGGCGAGAGCGGCCGGTTATTAGTATTCAGTTTGTTTCGCGGTAGCAGATGCAGTTAAGCCGGGCCGCACGAACCGGCAACACGTTACACGAGATGCTCCCATGGCCGCAATCATATTTCGCGATTCCATAGAATTACAAGGCCACCGCGTCGCGCATCGGTATAGAAAATTATCTACAAGCATTACTTTCCGGTGGAGCGTTATCCAGTGTCTCTATAGGGTGTCCCATTTCACGTTTCATATTTATTTTCCGAACTATAACTGGTGAACTTGGTTCCCCTTTTAAGTTGGTAATTCAAATAGAGCACAGTGTAAATAAAATATTCAGGACAATTATAACAATAGATAATACGTGTAATTGTTTCACGAACTACTATGCATTGTCTCCACTTTGTCGTTCATCATTAGAGATGGGGTCTTTATCCAAACAGGGAATTTGGAACCGTTATTTTTAGTAAGATTTAGAGATCATTGTTTTGTTTTAATCAGATCAGTCTTAATGAGAACAAGAAACAAAGTAACAATACATTGAGAAAATTGATATCAATGTTGACAATGTTACAATAGCGATCAGAAATATTATAGATGTATTGGTTCATTACATGATAAGAAATTCCATGAATATA